AGCTCTCCCCTCGGGGGCTGCTGTCTGTCTGAGGGGCTCACGGCAGGAGGGTCGTGCTGGGCACGCTGCCCAGACCAGCAATGCTCTCTGCATGGCAAACACACACAAGAAGGTACTTAAAGCACAGAAGGGTCACTTTTACAGATGGGACAACAGGTAGACTTGTACTCTGCACCTGCCCGCAGTTCTTAAAGATGTCACGTTAAAGCGAGGGTGCGGTAATTAATCAATTAAACTTGTTCATTGTTGGAATCCAGGACAGCCAGAGGGATGTCCTGAATTCCAACAGTTCATTGATATATATATATATATATTTTTTTTTTTTTTTTTTTTTTAAATTCACTAGCTCTGGGGTGTTGTCACTGTATGTAACACAGCGCTATCTGTTACACAGTTATAAAGATGTACACATAGCATGCAAATATCTCCATATGCTGGGTAGTCACAGCTTTGTTCCTATTGTGTCTGGACCTTTGGTCTTGAGCTACCTGAGGTTTTGACATGGCTGGGCCTGAGTATACTCAGTGCATTTCTGAACAGAAAACAAGAAATCAGAAGTCATTACAAGCATCATTCCTGTCTGTGCTCTGGGGGAGGCTGGAAAGAAAGGAAATAGCTTAGGCTGTCATTTTATGTTTCCAAAAGGATAAAGCATAGTTTCAAAACTAGACAAGGATTTCTTATCACTTAAAAATACATTTCTGGACACAATGCCAATAAAAATAATGAAAAAAACAACACTTCTTAAACAAACAGAAGATAATATGAAGTTTCTGACATTTCTGGCAGAATTTTCCAGTATTGTAAACCATGACAGAATTGAGCTGAACTTTGTGATACAGATCTATTCTGGTCCTCAGAGTGAGGTTCCAACATGCCAGCACTAAAACAGAGATACAAATTTGTGTCAGGAAGGACAGGCAGAGACAACTGTCTGCACACACCAAAAGAAATTCCACTTCTGCAGATCCACTCCCTGCAAAAAGGGTTATGTTTATATTCATAAAAATGTTTTGCCTACTGAGACCTATTTGGTCCCTTCTTGATTGCACTATTACATTTATTTAAATATTGTTTAAATTCACATCTCGTCATCCAAACATAACAAAGCCTACAAGGGAGTTTAAGATGATATAGAGCAAGCTAAAATGATCTTCAATTTTTAATCCCTGTCTTTCCATACTAAACAAAAAGGATGAACATGTCTTCAGCAAGTGAAACATTGCTGTGGCATGATAAATTTCCAGATGGTGCTAGGAATAACTAAATGAGTTCATATCTCTGATGTAACTCCCATGAAATTAATGGCACTATACCAGGAATTAATTTTCCCTAGATCAGTACAAGTCAAACACAGAGAACTGTAGTAACATCAGTTTTCTGCACTCTATTCATAAAATATACAAAACACAGAAATTTCTTAATTTACACAAATTCTTTTTGTAAGTCACTTCATTAGCATATAATAAATTTCATTTATGCATTTAAATAATTTAACAGCAGCATACAATTATATAAAATAATTTCACTGGAACATAGCATGTTACCTTACTTATTATCATCTGAACAAAGCTATGTAGTCTTTCCACTTATAATATGGAAAACTAGCCACTGTGGATATTAAGGGATCTGTGGCAGTCTTTTAGTGACTGATCATTACAGAGGAATAGATTAGAAGTAGAAAAATAATTTACAGCGTAGTTAAAATATCTAAATCATAGAGCTGTAGAATGGTTTCAGTTGGAAGGGACTTAAAAATCATCCAGTTCCATAGGCAGAGACACTTTTGACTAGACCATATTGCTCAAAACCCCACCCAACCTGGCATTTAACACTTCCAGGGATGGAGCATCCATAGCTTCTCTGGGCCACCTGTTCCAGTGCCTCACCACCCTCACAGTAAAGGATTTCTTTCTTACATCTAATCTAAACCTAATGTCTGCCAGTTTAGAGCCATTTCCCCTTGTCCTGTCTCTACACGCCCTTGTAAAAAATTCCTCTCCAGCCCTTTTGTAGTGCTCTTTCAGATACCAAAAGGCTTTCATTAGGTCACCTTCTCTACCCTGAATTTCTTATCATTGAAAAGGCCTCCAAAATAAACCATAAAAAAAGAGGTAATGAAAGTGAAATATAAACTGGAAGTTATGACCACAAAACAAATTAGGCCCAGGTTGCAAGAAAAAACAGCAACAGTATGGAAATTACACCCTAGAAATGCACCCTATTCCTTTGGTAATAGTAATTGGGAAAGGAGAAGTCACTGTTCTAGGTAATGCTTCTAAAACTGTTTTTCCTGACAATTCAGTGCAGGGCATCTTTCTGATTGCTCTCAACAGCTAACAATACTGGAGAAAGCTTAAGCTTATGTTTGGTATGACAACATGTTTTATTTTCCCACCCCTAGAAAATCCCACTAGGCAGAATTTACAGGAGATTTAGGAAGTAAGAAGTAAGCAGATGAGGTTGAAAAACCACCTCTGCAGTCTTCAAAAAAACCCAGCAGATGTGCAGCATGAGCTGCACATGAATGATGTTTTCAGAAAAGTTCAGTCCCTGTCTAACTCTGTTTTTACATAAATCGTTAAAAATTTCATACCTTTGTTTAAAAATTTTTGAAACTAATAGCTGGAGTCTTTGTAATGAGCTATTTAGGAAGGACAAAAGAGACTTCCCTTGTAAAACTCAAGATTTTGAGTCTGCTTGCTGGCTGATGCTCCCTCCACAAGCACAATGAAGGCTACAGCATTTCCGTGCTAAAGGTAAAACAGGTGGTGTTCATTGGACATACCAGCTACACGAAAGCTGGGCATCCAGTCTAAGCCCAGTGTCAGCAGGATGACCATACAGACTCAATAAGGAGAAGATGAGGCTTCCATTACAGTTACTTGAAAGAAAGATGTGTTTTCAGAAGCAATTCATTTCAACCTGTCTAAGGTACATGAGTTATTCTCTAAAGTTTCTCCTCTATCTCAACTTTTCTCAGCTTTACAGGGATGACTTTCTTACACCAGACACCTATTACAGAGTCTAAATTGGGCAAGAGGAATTGCACCTTTATCTAGTACAATAGTACTAGTTGGTGGAGAGTTTTCAGTGAAGGAAAATATTTGCACATAATTATTCTCTTCTCACACTGAATGTAGTTTTTAATAGGATAATAACTGGGCAATACAAGCTTGAAGTATCTCCAGTTTTCAGACCTAACATATTTTGGTTTTTTAAGCCCTCTTTCATTTGAGATTTCACAATACAGATGTTATTGCTTGTCTTCACAGGGTACCTAGAGGAAAGTTTCACAGTGGGCCTGGCTCAATTCACATGTGTTAACAAATTCCCTATTCTCAACACTTTGAATAAAAATTACAGTAACAAGCAACACATGAAGGTAAATACCAGACAGAAAAAAGGCAAGGAACACAAAATATCTGGTAAATCTTATCTGTTATAGTAAAACGTTAGCCATTATTTGATCTGGAGAGGCACCATGCACTGTTTTTTTGAGTCAGTCCAGCAGGTGCCCCCAGATATAGACACTGAGAGAAAACACCAGGGAACTCAAAGGAAAGCTACTATTGCATCTGATTTATCCATAGGGCAAATTTGGAGGGTTTATTAATTCTGGCAATAGCTCAGTGCAGTTAAGAGAACAAAAGAATCAGATCTGCTCCTTATCCTTCTGAATAATAACATTTCCTACAGGACAGAAAAAAAAAATCCCACACACAGATTATGATCCAGTTTTCCATCTTCATTCAGTTTGTTGTGTTTTGGGGGTCCTTTTAATTTTCAGGTTGACCTAAGTCTTGAAGATACAATATTAAAATACTGTGAGATAGATTGGCATGGATGGATGGATGGATGGATGGATGGATGGATGGATGGATGGATGGATGGATGGATGGATGGATGGATGGATGAATATAGATGCACACAATCTATCTGGAAAGAACGAAATCTGGGACATATTGTCAATATCTATTTTAGAGTAGGTTGCAGGCATTTTTGTGCAGTTCTGAGTTCCTAACTCAAACTAGACCTCTAAATCTTTCTAGGTATGGCCAGTACCAAGATTTAGAAAGCTGGCAGTCAAACACTGTCTGTTATAATACATGTATTTCAGTCACAGCTGAAGGCATTTTTACTATGCTTAAATATACAACTCTCAGGATTGCAAGTGAGGCACTTATTAAAATTAATGGACTTGATATTTGTACACTGGAAAAAATAATTGCTTACTTCATGAAGTGCTACAAATGATGAGTGACCTGAATATTATGTTAGTGAACATTCATAACACAGTGGATAATTTTGCAATTACAGATTCCTATGACATTATTAAAGCTAGGTCACTTGTTGCACTAATCTCTTCTCTTATGTCTCCTGGCATAATTACAATAGTTACTAAGTACAGTGCTTTTTAAAGAGATGCACTGTCTGACATTAAATATTTCAACCTTACTTATAATGAGATCATAATTTACAAACTGCCCTTAGTACTACAGAAAGATTTGATCATCAAAGAATCACAGAATTGAAGACACAAGTTAAAACTTCAATTTCTTTTCAAGAATTCTTTGTATCTTGTGAAGGTTAACAAAATACTCATTTGAAAACAAAACAATCTGTTTTTCAAGGTAGATGCAATTATACACACGCAAAAATAGGTATGAGGGAAGAGCAATGGATCATCTCATTCTTCCTGTATATGAGACAAATTGCACCTCTGTCAGCACATTTCTTTGCCAGCAGGAATACTGTTGTGGGTAAAAGAGCCAGTGAACATAATGTGCTATGTTTGGAAGTTCAAATATAATGTATAGCAAAAAGACCCCTGCAAGACGTTTTTAAGAAAAAATGAATACACAAGAAGAAAGGTTCAATCAGATATCACAATTAGATAAATCAACAGAAAAATAGAGACTGAAGAATCACATACCCTTTGCAATAACATGAAGTGGATGCAGCATTTCTTTACAGATATATGAATTGGAGTGTGTGAAGTAGAAATTCTAGGCAGAAGGAGACACCAATGAATTAAAAACCTACAAAGAAATAAGAGAGGAAAACATTGCTATTAAAGTTAATAAAAACTCATGCAGGCTAATTATTCATTCCAGATGTATTGAATGGAACTGGGAGACTGCACTGTATCACCGCAAAATGACTGTTAATGTTAATAAGCACATAATTTGAAGCAATCTGTGTTTCTCAAGTTTTATGAACTCTAAGCTAGCAGGATCCCTTTAGAGGGAAAGATCAATGAGTTTGTCTACTGAGGTTATAGCAGGAATTAAAGAAAATTGCATAGATTCATTCAAGTGGGGAGAAGGGTAAATTATTGTAAGGGTTGCAAGCCTTGTATGTTAAGTACTCCTTGATATAAATTAAAGGTTTCCAAGAAATTTTTCAAAGATTTTTAAAGATTTTCAACATCATAAAGTTAAGCTTGAGGCTTTGCAGGATAGACTATGAAAACCCATATTGATGTAGCTTTTGGCAACCCTTGCTGGATGAACAGAAAACTCACAATTGTTATTTGCGTATTTCTCACACGTATTCTGGCCAAAGATTCCTAAAGCAGCCTTCACTTGTCAAAAAAATGTGTGGACCTACTTCCTACAGATGCAGATTTCTATTGTAATAAGCAGAGTTGAACTCTCTGTGGCATTATATCCCCTCTCTCCTAGTACATGCTGACCCATTTCCATGGTGTCTTCATTTGAAATGCATATGAAGAGCTATAGACGTATATGCTGCTTTGTGAGGGGAAATTCATTGAAGTCACACAGGGGAAAAGTGATATTATGGACTATAAAACAAACCCTGACAATCTGTCCAAAGCAAGGAAGCAATGATTTCATTCAAAGCTAGAAAATTACAATAACATAAAACTGCTGTTACCCTAAAAAGGTCAGGTCCTCTGAGGTAAGAAAACAAGAATGTTTATTTAAGAAATGCAATTCCCTGATGAGACTAGATACAGAAATTAAACCAACATTTTGTACAGCATTTAAAGAGAAAATGTAGAACATTAGTGAACACAGCCTTTGTCCTTTCTTTCCTTAAAAACAAAAACAAAAGAAAACCAAAAGCGTTTTTAAAAATCCTAAATTCAGTCTCACAGAAAACCACAGGCACTGTTGTAAAAATCTGTGAAATTTGCCATCAGCCTTTTAAAAGACACTAACATGATGTACAATACCAAAATGCATTTTTTCCCCTATTTTCTCCTATGTTTACAGACTGGAGAAGCATTTGAATTGATTGTCTTCTTAAAACCTCAGGAGATAGAAAAGCTTTTAAGGAGGCTTTTTGCACACTTTCTAATATTTGTTTTCATGTCTCCCTGTGCGCCAGCTACTGTATATCTGCATTATCTTTTTAGCAGGTTTTTTTACCTGACAGCCAACTCAAGACTACTTAGATAATAAGGTGAAGAAAAATGGTTACAAGGATCTAACTTGCTCTCCTATCTCTCTTCATATATGTCCAATGTCTTCTCATGTGCATTTGATATTGAGACAAATACAAATTTTGTGTGCATCCAAAGACCTTTCTTAATCCTTCTATATGGCAAGCCCTTCAAAGAAAGAAGGCCTAACAATCCGTAGAGTTATTTGTTTTAATCCTTGGCTTCCCATTCCAGGAAACTTTAATACCAGCAGATTTACTGCAGCCCACAATGATCAATGATTCTTCAATTCAGGGACTGCTGTTTTGTTTTTTGGGTTTTTTTGTCAGATTTTTTTTTTTTTGTCTTGTACTTTTATTACAGATAGCTTTGGCAGCTATATTTAAGTGTTTCTATTATTTGTCTTAGCACACGGAACATAAGAGATCAAGATAATTTCCACCACTTTCTGTTTACTCACTGCCTATATCCAGGCATCTAGCCAAAGTCACATGTACTGTCAGAATTGAAGACTCACACCAAATTGCTTCTGAACTATGAATTCATCAAGAAAATTGATGCTGTTTTCATAGCATTGAGCTTCCAATGGTGTAGGTTTCTTTCCCTGCTTAAAGCAGCACTTTCCAAGGAAGTAATTTTCATAAATTATTAGGGGAATATTTGGGAATACTTTTAAACATCTTCAATGAATTTGATATAGCCTGCCAAGGTGACAGTGTAATACACATCCACATTGATTACTACTCTACAATCCTGACTGTGTTTTCCTGGTCTTCAGAGTAAAGAGACATTTTCACTCTTTTTGTCAGGTAAAGACACAAAGGATGTTCAGAGAAGTAGTCCAAATTAATAGCTTATTCCTGGCATGAAACCATACATTCATTCATTCATCACAAGGCCAGAAGAGATTCCAGTGATCTTGCAGTCCTGTACAGCAGGACTTGCTGAATTAGTTACTGTTTGAGGCAGAACACATGATGTAAAAAAGTACTGAACCTATATTCACACACTTCTGGTAAATATATCTGTTTTAACCTGGATGGGACCAGGACTCAGGATAAAAGAAAAAAAAAAGCTTATTTAGGTTTAACTATTGCAACAGAGTTTTAGGTTCATTTTAGAAGTATGGAGGTTTTTCACATATTTACAGTCTTTAGACAACACTCCTACATTTCAGGGCCAGAACTCAATGAAAAAAACAAAACAGCGTTTCCCTCTAAAAAGTATATTGTTGTGGTATTGTTAGGGTCTTTATCACCTCCTGAAGCCCTGAAGAACTTCTGGTCTCAACTGACTTCTAAGTAACTAAGTATGAAAAAAATTCAAGACTAGCATGAGAAAAAAAGTCCTATATTTAAATGCCCTTGGTGTTATGGGAGGATTGAAGTGTGACAAAAGACTTGACCTGCATACCATATGACAATGCTTCCCTCCAGAAAATGTCCATAACTAATGCTCTCAGCCTACAGGTTTCACACTGGGGCAGGAAGAGCCTTCCCAGTGTGATGACATTTCATGCCCCATGGGAGCAATGCTGGAGGCACAGTGAGAGGCTTGATTCAAGCAGATTAAGGCTTGCTTCAATTCTTGCTGGTGGCAACCAGGAATCAAAGCTTTGTCACCTCTCTTATCCAATTTCTCACCACATAGCTGCTGTTTTCTTGGTGCTTAGATTCAAGCGGTTTGGATGTGAACTGGGTTTGATTCCAGCCATGGGCCAAGGTACATATCAGAAGGCAGAACACGTATACTCTGTGAATCCCTGATACTGGGGTGGAGGAATTAGCTGTATCAATAAGTCATTATTTAGACACTCATTTAAAGTAATGAATGTTGATGGACCTAAAAAGTCCGACTTCTAAATTTTAATTTTGAGTGATGTGTTTTGGTAAATTAACATAAAATTAAGGATTTGTAATACTGGTGTAGTGAAAGGAAAGTCTTAACATTAACGATGTCTGGAGAATTCCTCCAAGCAATTGATAAGAATTACCCACTGACCTTGGAGGAACCATAATTTGGCTCACCACACAGTAACAAGTTTCAGCATTTTGTATTGATATATTTTTTAGAAATGTAATCCATACTTGTTTCTGCTAACACTGTTCAGCCTAATGTATTGAAGCAGGTTTTAAAATGCCATGAATGTAATACTGAGTTCCTGACGACATTAGCATGTACTGACAGCACATACTGTCAGCAGGATTTTGCAATTGATATTTTAATAGAGACAAGTTATCTTGCAAGAAAATTCCACCTTTTTCTGAACTCAACGCAGGTAAGCATGCTAAGGTAAGCTAAGCCAGAAGAGGAATGTTCTTCTTCTAGGAACATGGTTTTACATAAACAATTTATTACCTTTTCGTTCCTAATTCAGGATTCAACCTGCCAGTGTTTTTAGAGTTGGCTCAGTCCATCAATTCACTCAGACCTTACAAGGATGTTTTGGCACAGAAATACAGCTTAGCCTTGAGTAAAGCAAGGATATTGGCTTCTAATAGTCTTCAAAATAAAGGCATACAAAACATTTGAGGAAGTGGGGGTTCTAGCTCTAGGTTGCTCAGGACCTTGGTAGGCATAAAACCAGACAGCTACAGGAAAGAGAAGCAAAATAATGGAATCCTTTGTCCCTTAAGTGCTGACATCTCTCTCCCATCCTGAAGTACGTTTTTTCACTGAGCAAGCCCACCATCCTAAAATATTCATTCCATGTTTAAAAATAGGACAATTTTCCACATTGATATTTGTTTCTGTGTCACTTAGCAAGTAGTAAGATACAAAGGCCAAATAATCTTTCAGATAAGCAATCAGCAATTTAACTGTCTGGCAAAATTTGTTTATCCAGTTGGCAGTTTAGGCTAGACATCATCTGCCAACTGGAATGAAGGATTTTCTGATGCATAAGCAAAGTTTCTGGCAGACTGGAGCAAACTTTTTACTATTACTTTATATATCCTATAACTAATTCAACAAAAATTGTTATCAAATGAAAAGCTCTGAAAGCCACTTACCATATCAGCCTTTGGGCACTGTATAATGGTTTTCCATTATGGGCTGAAATTAAGCATTTATAAAAAAAGCAGTAATTTCACAGTTAGTCACCCAGAAATTTGGCCATGTTAAAACAGCATTTTAGAAAATTACAGGTAATATTATTCCTGAATGGAAATTGCTGTAACTTCTGTTTGCCTCATGGGATAGGAAAGCTCAAAGAATTTTGCAGGAGGAAATGCTCACTACGAGCCATCATGATTAGTCTGAGTGTCAGAAACTGAGTTGTGAAATAAAATAAAAGTACAAGTAATTCAATACAAGAATATATGCACTGATAAATAAGAAATAAATGGCTTTTGTGACATTCCAGTATGTCCCTATGGTTTCCTGAGGAATGAGAAGATGAAATACATGGTTTTATACAGTACTCAAAACCTATCCAAACAGCACTGAAGCCTCAAGAGTCTTCTGAAAGTCATGCCCCAGAAATGAATCCACATTAAATAATGCAGCACTCACATACTCCTTTCTATTTTTTTCCATTTATCCATGATGGCTTAACTTTAATACACTCACTTATTGAAAAGAATTTGATTTGATTCACTTTTGCACCTGAAGTGACCAAGGAATAAGAAAGAGCCAGTGACTTGGAAAGAGCTGCACAATTAAGTAGAGAAGGTGCTTGTTCTATGTCCTCTTCTCTGAACAATGATACTCATAGCAGTAACGCTCTTCCTACAGAAAAACTCTAGCCATCCAGCCAATAAAGATAAATCAACATCAGCAACAATAAAACTATGTTACTCACATTTTTAGAATAAACATCCAGTGCCCATGACCTCGAGAGCTTCATTCCTGAAAGGAAAATGTTAAATGTGAGCCTTCAGGCCTGCCATCAGTTGGGTGAAGAAGGTGAGCAGGTACTGCAATAGTGAACACTGGCACAGAATCATAAGATGCTCCCTTTGATGATTAATTCACAATATCAACCTTCTCTCAGCAATCTATTAGCAAAACATTTTGCATAAGCTGACTTTCAAGTACATATTTACAAAACAGTGAAGTCAATCTGAAGACAAACCTGAAATCCTTCCCAAACTGTGGCCATAGTTTTGTTGCATTTATCAAACAAACAACAAAAACAATTCAAAAGAAATTAAATGTAATTTTTAATTTTATACTGAAATATACAAGCACTTAGTGAATTTATCTGTCTTTCTAAAATACTAATAGAAGCCTTAATTAAGCAATTAAGCAGTGTACTGAAAACAGAAAAAAAGTTTTGGTTAAGCTGAAATAGTGTTACCCTCCATGTTTATAAACATGATCATAGTTTAATATGTAATAGTAATTTGATTTTATTTATGAGTTGCTATATTTTGAAAAAAATAGTTTTGAAATACTGCTAATTTTAAGCATCTTCAAACACTTTTTCATTTAGATTTAGCAGTTTATAAAGACTTAGATCTTAAACAGCACATTACCTGATAGGGAAATACACTTGTTTCCAGCTTTTATTTCTGACAACCTTATACCATTCCACATTTTCAAAGTACTTTGTATTTTTTAAGCCCAAGATTCATTTCTTGCCAGTGGAGAGCATTTCAATTAGCATCTTTAACTAATTGTTTAGTATTGGCCTGTCCACTACCAATACTCTGAAATGGCCATTCTGGCTCTGAAACAGCCAGAAAATTCTGGAATTTTCTGGCTCACCATTTAGCTGACAAAACACAGCCATATTACAACACAGAGCCTTGCTGATAAAGCAGTACAAACCTTTAAAATACCAACAAACATTTAGAGCCTTGTATGTTGCCAGCTATCCACAATAAGCATTAAGGAGTCATGTGTCCTCTTACAGCCACAGTGCTCATCTGTAGAGAAAATAGAAAATCAACACAGACTTTTAAGTGAGATTTTCTGACTGCAAGGGAGTAGATGAAAAATTAATTTGGAATATTTCTGCCTCTTTCTTCTTTCCTTTGAACAAAACTTCATGCCCTTCTATATAATTTTGAAAAATAAAATATTCACTTTTTTAATGAATTGGAGAGGTGTATTCAAAAGTAAAGTGGCAGTAGGTGAGAAACTTTAAAATATTTTTCTCTTCTGCAATGACATGTAAAAATGCAGCATTTCAGCTTTGTTAGTGCACCTTTTAAAGGTACTTTGAGAAATCCGTAGTACACGGTATATCATCTTTTAATACAAATGCCTTTTTATCAGATGGCACTACTTTTTCAGATTTCAGAGCAGTAATTAATGAGAACATTATAAAAACATAAAAAACAGATGAGCAAAACATCACTATATGCAAAACATCAAGTAAAATAAGGAAAAATGAAGGGCTGACAAAGAATGAAGGAAAAAACGCTGATCAGCAAAGACAGACCTAAGATTGCACAGACAATAGTATGAAAGGGTACAAAATTTAGACTGACATGCACATTACAAATTAGATTTAAAAAATATAAATAAAAGACTTGTCAGCCATACAGAAAAGAAGAAGGGAGGGGAAGAGGAAGAAAAAGCTTGGCAGCTGTGGAGCAGATATGGAGAGACCCAAATCAATATAACACAGAAAGACTGCCTAGAAGTAATGACAAAATAAAATGAGATTTCTGCATCCAAGATGGAAGGAAAACTCAGAGGCTAAAGCTTTCATATGGAGGAGGTTCATCATTATGAGGGTTCTGAAAAGGATAACAAATGAAACAATAGGTTGCCTAATTTGACTTGATGTACACAAAAAGCTGGCATCAGTAGTAGAGAGCCATCATATAGAAACCCCTACAGTTACAGGGGATAGTTAAAAGATGCACGAGGAGGGATTTGTTATGCTTACTTCAGTGGTGCAGAAAGCCATACAGATTTCAGAGGAAAGATTAACTTTGAAAAGAAAAGGCAGAAAATCAAAATGCTGAAGGCAGAGTATTACGTAGATTTACCAAATAGATCTGGTAAGACTATCCTGACACTTTCACTTAATAAAATAACTGCTTTTCTACACAAGGGGAAAGAAGCTTGTCAGTCTGTTTGGATTACAGCAAAGTACAGCACCACATGGGAAATTATCACTTATATGGAAGAAAATGTAGCTCTTGTACAAAAACTGTAATGCTGTTAGAAGGAACATATTAAGAAAAAAAAACAACAAAGGACAAAAAACAGACCATGTGCTCATTCTAGATATATTTCAATATAGCAGAGTTTCTTGATTGTTTGTCTTGGTTTGATCTTATTTAATCTTTTTCTTAGTCATCTCAATGTAAAAGCAGGGAGTGTGCTAATACAGTTTCTGGTCACACAAAATTGGGAGACATAAAAGGATCTGTATATCATTCAGTAAGCTAAGGATATGAAGAAATTATCTGAAATAATGGCAATAATTGAATAAAAGGGATCAGATGAAGACACCTAACACTAGGAGGAAGGATATTCTTTTAGGAATAGAAAAAAGACATTACTGTTAATTGACTAGCAATGGCTATCTGAAACTCATGTCAATCCCGCATCTCCCAAATCTATTCAGACCTGGGATACATTATTCCCAACTGACATCTATTAAAAACAAAAATTCTTTTGAGATCCTCTAGAGTCAAGATGGCACATTCTCCTGGGATAATGTATCAAAGAACCTTCTTTTTTTCCGACTGTCAAATTTCTGCTTAATATGTGTACTTCTTCTTCCATCATTCAAGTCCTAAGAAAAATGCTGAATACTATCTGACACAGACTATCTGAAGTCCTCCTCCTTTCTGAAGTCATACCTGTGTGCAGAAAATATAGATTTGGGCTCGGAATGATGCACAGGAGCTATTCAGACAAAAAGTACATGGAGAGTCTATAACATGGAAAAAAAAAAGGTGCAAAAAGAGATTTACACTGAAGTATACTTCATATATAACAAAAAAAAAACAAAAAAACCCAAAAAAAACCCACATCCAAAAAATAAAAGGCGGAGGGGAATAAACCAACAATGAATCTAATTAAGGTTGGTAAAAAAAGGAGAATTTTACCCATAAGAGGTGCTTGCTGCAAATAGCAGCATTAGAGACCCAAAAAATCCTGGCTTTAAGTTGTTTTTAAGAACATTAATAATGGTTTGTAAAGGAACTTATATGAACGTGTTACCTGAAATAACTGGAACAAAACTCATTGACAGAAGGGGACACTTCCAGACCTCTGATCCTGGAAAGGGGGTCTTTGGCAACTCACAGAAAATATCTCTAGGATCTGGTCCAGGTTCAGCCAGGTGCAGCAGAGAAAATGTGACAAGAGGATACCCAAAGCACAAAGTGGTTTGACTGCAAGGTTCTAGCAGGTCTCTACAAAAGATGTGCAAATTGCAAATTTGAGACTTATGTGGTTCAGCTGAAGTCCATGCTCTCTTACACAACAAAGACCTTTGCATCTCCAGCTTTTAAGTTCTTCTCCAAAGGCTAGGTGAACTAGAGCAACTCATGGAAAAAGGCACAGGAGGTTTTTTTAACATGGAGCAGGAGGTTTTTTAACATGAGCAAAATAATACAATTTTCCTAGTTTTGCTCTTGCACACAGCTTGAAAATTTCCCCTGAAGTTTTTCAAGAAAGTTCCAGCTTGTGACAGACACAGAAAGTTATAGCATAAGGGATATGAGCCAAAAAAACACCCACACAACTAAAAAGAGGCCTTTCTATGCCTTGTGTAGTCAGCTGGGGGGTATGTGCTGGGGAAGTACAGTAACAGGTATCACTATTATCTTGCCTGTGATGCCAAAAGTACAGGCCTTAGGACAAAAGTCTTGCAGTATTAACAGATGGTAAAAAAAAGTGAAATGGCTGCAACTAATGGGTTTTTGAGTAGGCACAGGAGATACCAGATAATGTTGAATGTATTGCATTTAAAGTAAATAACAAGGAGTCCAAATGGGCATTCAGTTCCTTGATAATTCGCAAGCCAGCAGGTGCCAAACCAGGCACGGTGCAGATAAGCCTTTCCTGATCACATCTTACTCTGTGGGAATTTTTAAGCTCTGAATGCAAAACATAATACAGAAGCGTTAAAAACTATGCTGCCGTTTCTTTGGGAAGATGAGATTCCAAAGGACAGGCCTAGCACTTATGTGGAGCTATGCATACAGGAATCTGACCCATAAGCATTTGCTTTTTGGGGATGTTGCCAATTCATCCCTGGGCAATTTTACGTTAAGCACTCTTTTGTTGCAGCTGTGGAAGAAAATTAGTTGTTCAGTTATTCACAGTGGTAACACAATGCTCTTGTCACGGCTCTCATCAGCTTGGCTGTAGCTCTGCAGATTAGCTCAGTGGTGTTAGCTTAGTCTCCATCCTACCAGGGTCAGAACCTATCAACTTCAGATGCTTCGTGCTCAGTCTGTCACGTAAGAGCTGAAGGGTGCACATGAATAAAGTAAGGGCTTTACCTCTGACTTTCAAAGTGAAAAGCTCTCAGCTAATGACATTTCTCAGTAGTGTTAAGAGGCTAAGAGTGCTCCACATCTTTTTGAGACGAGTGATGATTTGTTGGCTAGCCCTTCTGTTGGAGTAATGCTTTAGATTATTCAAGGCTTTAAAGTGATCAAGATCTATTTTTGTCATACAGAGAAACTTATTGGCAATCCTATGGTCAGACTGTATATTCAGACATGGAATTTTCATTTCTTCTCATTGAGTTTCAATGCAGAATCTTCTGTAGTCTGATCTGCATATTTTAAATAGTGTAATTATAAACCAACCCTTTATCCAGCGAGTTCAAATGCAAATATTGGCTCTTTCCTCAGTGCAGGAATTGGTTTGTGCAAGTGAATTGCAGTTTAACTGAAGCTACTATGCCCTATTTTACTTAAATTAATGTAATTATTACCTGGCTAATTATCTTGTTGAATTACTTGTTCTGTGATTCATTAACTGGGAAATTTCTGGATATAGAAGAATATCTGAACATCCACCTATTTGTATCACAAAATACTGATTAGGAAAACTCGTGTTACCCAGTGAGGTAGACATTTCTTTTAGAAATGTCTTTTATAAGAAAACTCTTGAGTCAGTAGAAATGAGCCTATTGTAAGGACTGTGAATTACTTCTCACCCTTGGAAAAAGCAGTTAGTTTTATAGTTGGAGCAGAAGACAGATACAAGGGAGCCTTCACAGCTGGTATCTGGTGCTGTCCCCTTTCCATAAACCTGTCTTTTGCTGTCTAGCACAGCCCTCTGTTTTACAGCCTCTAATGGTGTTACATATTCAAGCAAGGAAGCAATGGGGGAAGAATATTTTCATAATTACCAAACACATTCCCAAACACTGATATAAAGTCTATTCCCAGCATGAAATTACACAAATAAGTCAATAAACTTTAAATCATCTTGTGCAGAAGCAACATGAGAAGAAAGTCCAGAGCATCCTCGTTGCAGCAAAGAAGGAGAAATGCAGTGCTGTTTTATAAGGGTTGTAGCTAATTGAGGTGATATACAAAAACACACAGAGTTACTTTTGTTTTCCAAAGTTTCTTCTGCCATTCCTATTATGTTTTGCTATAAATTAAATAGTTGCTGCTGCAAAGTCTCAGTATAAATAAGCATGGAGGCAAGCCTGATAAATGCTCAACAATCTGTGCAGAGCTAAAGGAAACATTACATTTTTCACTGCCTGTAAACAAAATCCTTTTCATGTAAGGGCATTTTTTATTTCTTTGTAATCAAGCATTCTGATTTTATAACCTTACAGACTCATGTGCACTGAACAACTCCCATCAATTCTGAGTTCAATACTAATCCTGACATGAATATCCAAGAAATAGATTGTATTTCTAACAGGAATGCTTAGGTCC